CCCGGAGCAGCCCCACACCACACAAACACCGCCCACCGAAGTGGGCAACCTGCTAAAATAATTCCCCACCCAAATTGGGCAAAACCCCCTACCACCGGGTCAACATATAGGATACTTTTTACCGCGGGAAAATATCTCATTTCTGAGAAAAAATACAAAACTGCATTGTAAGAGTACATATACTAATATGTTAAACCTAAGAATTTGATCTTTGGTCATCTGAACGCGAGCAGAGCCGCGGGCAATGCTAGTTTTAAATAAAATTATCTTTTCGGAGATCTATTTCGACGTCTCGAATGCTTTAATGCTTTACAGCAATCATGGGCACGGGAGAGACTAAGGCTTAAGATTTTTCAAAGGCATTATATAGTTGTTACAGACAGCCTACCCACAAAATTTTATTTTATTAGGATCTATAACGTTAGTACACAAAACAACTTATACTAATACATTGACAAAACATAACCAATATGCACTCACAATTATAGGAGAACACAACATGCTTCACATAGAAGAAAAAAATTGACAATGTCAATACAAAATTTATTGTGTAATCGACTTTTATTTTAAAATATATCCAAAAATAACATTAATAATTGAATTAATAGTATAAAAAATGTTTTAAAACACAACAAAATCGAAAGTGCATAATATTTAACACCATTCAGACAAAGAAAGACAATAGCATTCCCAAGGAGGGTTGACGTCAGGCAGGCGGCCGGTCGTAAAACTTTTGCCAAATCCTATCAGCAGTACACTGAAGATGTACTGCGCCGACCCCAAGTGATTTGGGAAATGGGCAGGGAGAAGAAGAAGAAGAAGACAACATGCTTCACATTTTATAAAAATATCTTAAGACTTTACATTATATAAGAGATAATAATAGTAAAAATAAAACTTAAGAATAAATACATGATATACTACAAATATTATATCGTATTGTAACAATTCTCACATTTTTTGGAAAACACTGACAATCTATCATGTCCTATGTCTAAGTCGAATCACGGGTCGCACACAAGTTATAATCGACATACGAACTAGCGGCGTGTTCCTACCTAATTTAGTTAAAATAACAAAATGAATTCAAAAAAATCAAAAAAAGTATTTATAAGTTTATTTTGGTCTTTTTAGCTCATTAAAATAAAATCTTGCTTTTAAATATATATTTTTTTATTATTAATTTATTTATCTAATTTTAGTTAATAAATCATGGTGTTCACAAGTCATAGTGTCGGTGCACTATTTAACTCAAATGACTCATAATTGAATGCGTACATAAAATTTCGTGTTTGAACTATTAACCTATAGCGGTATAAGTTATGTATACGCACTATTTATTACTAGCGACTCACCCTTGCTCCGCTCGGGTTCGTCCCTAGTTACGTTCTACGGTTTAGTATAGATTTTTCAAATATAAGAAATGTCCTACATGTTGACCCGGATAACCAGCTATCATCATAAATTTTTTTATCAAAATCTGTCCTGTAGTTTTCTGGTGATGCGTTCCCAGACAGAAAAGCAGAAATTCTAAAAGCTATAGATTCGGCCTCTGTATCGATAACAATGACTATCAATAAGATTTAAAAAAAATATATTTAATGTACAGATAAGATTCATTTTGAATTTTATTATATGTATAGATTAATAGAATTAATGTGTAAATCGTATGTAACCATATAATAAAGAGCAGCCATGTGTAATCATCTGCTCGTTTAACTAACCTAACTCCTACCTTACAAACCGTTGAGGAGTTGCGTCGTCTAAAGCTAATTCTAGATGGAGAATCATGTCATATTAACCGTAAAAAGTCAAAAGTTGGAACTGAACCAATATGAAAAATTTCAAGTCCGTAGGATAAAAGAAGTGGTTCTAATTCAGCTTGCAAAATTGCCACATACCAATTAACAAATATTGCAAGCTAAATAAAAGCTTTTAAAAATTATTAAATAAAAACTTTTTAACAAAAAAATAAAAACCGACTTCAAACAAAAGCACTAAAAAGTAAAAAATAACTGATTGGTAGTTTTCATTTACTATACATACCTAATCAAATATATTCGAAGTCGGTGTGCTTTGGCTAAGTAATTAAAGCCTACCATTTAAATACATACCTAATCAAATATTTTCGAAATCGGTGCCAGGCCATATAAAGCAAAGCACACCGACTTCGAATATATTTGATTAGGTATGTATAGTAAATGAAAACTACCAATCAGTTATTTTTTACTTTTTAGTGCTTTTGTTTGAAGTCGGTTTTTATTTTTTTGTTAAAAAGTTTTTATTTTTCCCTTTTTAGTGTAGACAGTAGTAGCAAAGTAAGAATTCTAACGTGTTAGGCTTGTCAAATCAAACAAAATAAGCCCAAACTCAAAGTATCTACTATTAGCCGTTGAAGAGTTCCACCTATACACCTTCTGGCCTTGCCATCAGATCAGGTCAACAACACCAAACCACTGTACTATCAACGGAAATAGAAATACTTGCAAAGTTTCAAGTCAATATGACAATTAGAAGTAGGTTAAATTCATAATTAGTTGTTTTTCCACCCTTAGGGGTGGTATTTTTTTTTGAAATTTAAATGGGACCAATCTGGAAGTATACCCTTTCAAACAAAACAAAAATTGTCCAAATCGGTTAATAAATGACGGAGTTCTGAGGTAACAAACATAAAAAAAAAAAAATAAAAAAAAAAACATACAGTCGAATTGAGAACCTCCTCCTTTTTGAAGTCGGTTGAAAAGAGTCCTATTTCAATAGGTATCAGTATAACATACCTGTGATAATACTTCTGTAGGAACTTATATTTCCCTTTGACGGACTTGTTTGTGACGAGCTTGGGATTGAGATGTCTTTCGGCGCGACGTTCTTCCTCCGTCATGTTCCTCATTCGCTCTATCGCCAATAACTCCTTTTCGACTCTGCACTAAATTTCTTTTTTAATGTAGCTCTATACTTTTAATTTTTATATAATATTCCGCTCCCAATGGTAGATGAAGCTATAATAGTCTAGTCAACCAGTGCTGTTTGGGTCGAATTTTTTCTCCGTCTCCGAATTTAAATAGGTAAAAAAAATTTGTTTAAGTTTTAAATTTCGATAAGAGATAGAAATAAATCATTTTTCTCAAAAAATAACACATGGTTGTTTTTGATTCATTATGTAGAAAAAGAAAATAATATATAGAAAAAAATCTATTGTTTATAATAATTGTTTATGAAATAAACAATGAAAATATAAATAAATACATTTTTTTTTTATTGTTGATAACAAAGAAAAAAATAACATTTTTTTTTATTTTTCCAACTAAAATTTCTTGTGACACCTTTCAAAAATAGCTGCAAAAAATGAAAAAAATACTTAGATTTTTTATATTTAAATAGATATAAATAGTTATTAGCCAGCGTTAGCCATACATTTTTTTTTCGTAAATTTTTCTGATGTTTTAATATTTATTATCCTATTCCGGACTAACTAAGAAATCCAAAAATTCAAATATCTAGCCGTTCTTGAGTTTCATGTCACGTCACAACGGACACGCAATCGAACGGGATAAAAAGTATCCTATATCCGTCTCCTGGTTCTAAACTACCTCCCCACTAATTTTCAGCCAAATCGGTTCAGCAGTTCTTGAGTTATAAATAGTGTAACTAACACGACTTTCTTTTGTATATATATATATATATATGTGTGTGTGTATATATATATACATACATACATACATATATATATACAAGAATTGCTCGTTTAAAGATATAAGATATAGAAATAATGTATACAGATTATGTAATTACTGCGAAAATGATGATACATATATGTTGCTACGATATAATGTCAACAACGTAGTTAAAACAATAGATCAAGTGAACAAATTCAATAAATAAATAAGAAGTTTTAATTCAAAATATTTAAATATTTTCATATTATGTTTCTATAATAAATTAAGCGAATATAGACCTATAGGGTAGAAGCCTTCAAAAATAATAAAAAGTGAAAAAAAATATAGTAGGATGCAACCCGTTAGAAAAAGGAGGGGAATATTATAAAAATGAAAGGAAAATAATTTACGGGCGATCTGAGGTCGGGAAGAGGATGGGGGTGAGGTTTTAAGGGTAAAAAACGGTTTTTCTCGATTTCCGGCAAAACTAAAAGTCCTATCGAAAAAAGTTAAATGGCAAAGTTGTAGGTAATAAAAAGATCTAAAACTTTTGTATTTACACTTTTTTCACATAACCTCAAAATTTATGTGAAAAATTCAAAAAACCAAGTTATTGGTTTTTTATTTTTATCTTTTACAAAAATGTTTTTGTTTTAACGAAATACGCTGTAATTTATTAGATTAAAAATATTTATTTTTCCACCTTATTTTGAATTAACATCGAAAAAGCACCCTAATTTTCAATCGAAAATTCACCCGTCAAAATATCAGCTTTCTTCAAAAAGTTGGTATGTTTTCTGTTCGTTGAAATCTCTACTTTCCGATGGTGAAAAAAAATATATGTTACTATAGTAAATCTTCTGAGAAAATGCAAAAAACAAAAAACCTTTTTTATTTCATACACTTGCTTATCATCTGCCTTATTGCAGATGATACAAACAGATTCATCCATACTGATAATCTAAAAAGACAAAAGCGAATTAATAATGCCTTCACTATTTTATCGTGAGTATACAACCCCATGAAAAAAAATATTAAAGAAATAAATGTCAAAATGTATAAAAAATATATTATATTTTAGTATCAGTTACAGTTACGACGTTCCTGTACATAACACAGAAATATATAAAATACAATGAAAAATAGAAAATTAAATATCGATAGCGGAAGTCGACGTAGATCTTGGACTAACTCATTGTATTTTAAATAGCACCTTTATTCCAATCTCATTGTATCATTATACATACATTGTATAATTTATACATATTTTGTAAAATTATGAAATTACTAATACCTGTAACACGGCTACGAAGGAATCAGTTTTTCAGTATTGTTCAGCTGCGAATGGTGTGCGAGATGGAAGAAGTTAACGAAAGATCGAATCTATCTCTGAGTGAACTGTTTCGAGCATTCGAAAAGAGTTTGGGCTTCAAAAATGATATTAAATGGGTGAATGTCATTTTAATTGGTCTTTATCATATTGCAGCTGTATATTGGTGCTCCATTTACTCTTTCCCAGTAAAATGGCAAACGGTTGTTTTCGGTAAGCATTTAATTCTATAGGCTTTTAACACACTTATGAGTAAGACAGTTTCCTTAGATTATAACTATAACAAGATCTCAAAACCTCTATGTTTACTTAACGGGGAAACTTATGCCTTTATTTATTACTTAAAATTTCTTAAATACAATAGATTTACTCTTTGCCTACTTTACTATATATACGAGTATTTGCTTAGGAATTACAGTATACATATATTATCATCATCACACAAAAGGAGAGACAATTATAGAATTTCAATTCGCACACGTACGTGCTTGGTATTTGTAATATTTTTTTTCCTTGCAGCTGCACTGCTATTTATATTTACCGGTTTAGGAGTTACTGGTGGCGCTCACAGATTATGGACCCATAAATCATATAAGGCGAAGCTGCCTCTTAAGATATTTCTACTTATCTGTTTCTCTGGTGCTGGACAGGTATGAATGTTCAAAGGATTTAAAGAATTTTATACTCTTGATTTAGTATTTATTCAGCACGTGTTTAACATCCGATTGGCACCGACTTCGAAAATATCTGATTAGGTATCTATTCTAAATGAAAACCCCCGTTTAGTAATTTCAACAAAAAAATCCAAATCGGTTCAGGCGACTATGAGTAGTCGGTGAACATACATAAAAAAAAAGAGTCTGACAAATTGAGGACCTCATCCTTTTTGGAAGTTGGTTAAAAATGGTAATAGTTATTTTGTATTGTGCATTTCAAATACTACTATTTAAAAATGTCTCATCTATTACTTCAAGCATGTATATTGTATAGTGCTATGTATCTTAAATAAAGAATATTATTCAGAACTCCGTAGAACAATGGGTCCTCGATCATCGCGTACATCACAAATTCAGCGACACCGACGCAGACCCACACAACGCTAACCGAGGATTATTCTTCTCACACATCGGATGGCTGATGATGAAGAAAAATAACCAAGTTATAACAAGTGGAAAACAAATCGACATGACTGACATTACTAACGATCCTTTGCTTCGTTTTTACAACAAGTAAGTTCAAATTTATTCATGGACCGGACCGGATTTACTCAGTAAATAATACGAATTTCGCCAAATTAATAATATAAAAGGCATTGAAACCATTACAGCCTTCTGCAATCTGTGATACCATATTGACCACCTACATTTATTACCTTATTCACCTAAAAAATACAAATATTTCAGAAAAGCTAAATATTACTCATGTTAATTAATTTTTGATTTTCCAGATATTTCAATTATTTTAAATTATTGTTCTGCTACATACTGCCAGTTTATACCAACGTACAATTGTTTGGGGAGACCTGGCAGTGCGCGGTCGCGTGGCAGTGGTTCATACGATTTTTGAGTACGTTCCATAGTGAATTGACAGTTAACAGTCTTGCACATGCGTATGGATATAAACCTTATAACAAGTAAGTTATTATTTTTTTTAAGTAAGCTATGAACACTATCGTGCAAGAATTCTCTTTTTCTGTGCCTTCATAGACTTGAATTGAACTCAATATACTTAAAAGTCGCACTATTATAATGATACATTTTAATATTATAAAGACCCCGGGAAGGACATAGGATAGTTTTTATCCCGGAAATCATTAATATACCCCGGACGAAAATTTGTATGGTAAATCAACTCTACACAGAGTCGTTGTTTCAATACTCGCTCTGCGCAATTGCACTAGAAGCAACCATGGTTGTTAAACCAGTCATTAGATACTATAAAGGGTATAAGCTTGTAGTTTCCAACGAAGTAAATAATTATGGAACATTATGGTTACCGAGCAGCACAGAAAATAGTTGCATATACGAGTATAATTAAATAGTATCAATACATATATACATACATACCCTATGTATACCATATATACATATAATGTATGTATATATTGGTGTAACGTTATGTTGGACTTCATGACCTAATTTTAAAAACATGTATGTATGTTATAGGAACATAATGCCAAGCGAAAATCGTTTCGTCGCGACATGCTCATTCGGAGAGGGCTGGCACAACTATCACCACGCATTTCCCTTCGATTATAAAGCAGCAGAACATTTCGATATGTTAAATTTAACTACGAAATTTATTACATTTTTTGAAAAAATAGGATGGGCTTATGATTTACGGGAAGCTACGCCAGAAATGATCAATTCTATGGCCGAAAGATTAGGAGATGGAACTCCAGTACACTTTCCTATACCTGCTAAAAATGATGTCGAATAATATTAGAAAAAATGAACTTTAATATGACGAATGAAACGAACGAAAATATGTTTTATTCATTTTAAGTGAGAATATAAAAACTTCACTCCCTTTCTTAGATTTACGAGAATATTAGACATTTTAAATAAAACAATCTTTTCAAAGTTTTTCTCGGATTTATTTTCGTTTTTGGTTTCGAATGCTTTACAGCAATCATGGGTACGGGAGAGACTAAGGTTTAAGATGCCTCAAAGGCATTATATATTTGTTACAGACAGCCCACAAAATAACAAAATCAATGAAAAAAAATGATATTATAAGAATTTGTAAGTTTATCTCAATAAAATAAAAGCTTGTTTTTAAAAATGTTTTTTTTTTATACTACCCATTTATTTATCTAATTTTAGTTAACAAATCATGGTGTTCACAAGTCATGGTGTGGGTGCACTATTTAAGTCAAATGACTCATAATTGAACGCATATATAAAATTTCGTATCTGAACTATTAACCTGTAGCGGTATAAGTTATGTATACGCACTATTTATATTTATTACTAGCGACTCACCCTTGCGTTCCCAGATAGACAAACATTCTATAAACTATAGAGTCGGCCTCTGTATCGATAACTATGACAATCAAACAATAATCAATCAAAAATCGATACAGAGTCCGACTTTATAGTATATATATATATATATATATATATATATATATATATATATATATATATATATATATATAAATAGTATATAATAAAGAGAGAGAAAAAAAAATCATTTTATTATGTCAATAATAGCTATGATTCATAATTATTATTCTATGTATTTGTAATTTCGTATGTAATGTAATTTTATTTAACTGTAATACTTAAAAAATATATAAAACTTTTCCTATTTGTTGTTATCTTGGCGAATAAAGGCTTATTATTATTATTATATAATAAAGAGTAGTCATGTGTAATCATCCGCTCGTTTAACTAACCTAACTTCTACCTTACAAACCGTGGAAGAGTTGCGTCGTCTAGAGCTAATCCTAAATGGAGAATCATGTCATAATTACCGTAAGATTCTAAACTTGGAACTGAACCAATAAGAAAAATTTTAAGTCTGTAGGATAAGAAGAAGTGATCCTAACTGGGCTTGCAAGATTGACATATACAAACATACCAAGTAACAAACATTGCAAGCTAAATAAGAGCTTTTAAAAATTCCTAAAAAAATCCTTCTGTAGGAACTTATATTGACAAACATGTTGGTGACGAGTTTGGCATTGAGATGTCTTTTCCAACGGGAATCTCTTCTGAGATCTTTCAAAAATAACTCCAAAAAAGGAAAAAACAACTCAGATATGATACTTTTAACAATTATCGTACTTGCAATGTTCATGTTCAAGTAGGAAAAAAAGTGCTAATTAACTGATGTTCTCCTGACCGACTCCGGCCACGGCGGCCAATCTCATTGACACTAGCCAACTGCGCAGGAGATATTATAGTGCTCAAGTGTACGCGCAGACACAAGGGCACTCTCTATTCCCGTCACTCTCATATTCCGGTGGGACGATCACTCGACACGACCGGTGAGAGTTAAGGCGCAGGACCGACGGCTTTACGTGCTCTCCGAAGCACTCCAACTCCGGGCTCTTACTGAGGCTTAATATACAGAAAGACTCAATAACTAAACTTGGCCCGACCCGGGAGTCGAACCCAGGACACCGGGTGTGCAGTGTCCATTTTGACAATTTCACTAGATAATAAAAGCCGTTAAATGGTGAAACGATCACTGATTTATTTGAAAATATATCGATATCCGAGTTTCTGTGTAGATAGTAAAATTGTTTTAATATTCTAGGAGTATTTATAGGAGAATAAAGGCCCAAGTTTGATTTGGATATGTAAATAATAAATACTTATTATATTATTGTAATTTTAAGCATTAATTCTCTTCCTTTTAAAAGAGCTTGCATTATGTTGGTTTGTTTAAGTTTATTTTTTTATTATAATATACAATTACTTTTTTTTATTTATTAACATTTATTTACATATCACAGTTATAGCCATACTAATAATATTTATAACCTGTTTTAAAACATTATATATTATTTTAAAACTATATTTGGGTTCATGCTTATTTCAATGACACTCTATCTATATTATTCCTTAGTCTAAGGTTATATACCACGTAACCACCATGCAAGTATATGAGTATATAAAATCTCTGAGTAAATAAACTATCATGTAAGTTAATACCGTTGAAAAGCTTAATTATGTGTTCTCTGTACTTCACGTATAAATAATGAATAAACTGTATGAAATAAGCTCGAGGCGTTTAATATGAGATATAGAAATAATTGATACAGATACAGAGGTATGTGTTAAATATAATTGCTACGACATAATGTCAACAACATAGTTGTGTTTCAACAAATCAAGTAAACATTGAAAACACACATTAAAAGAAGAAATAAATAAGAAGTATAAATACAAAATGTATAAATATTTTCTTATTAAGTTTCTATAATAAATTAAGTGAATAGTCCTTAAGTAATATAAAAATGTATCCTGTAAATAACAGCAAAGTACGGCGGTACTCATAAACTTCATAGTATTCTTCTTGCGTCAAAAATACGATTTTATGTGGTAGTGCACTCTCGGGAAAGCATAAAGTTGTCTTAATATCAGGGGCTCCGTTCTAGTTGCCTCAAAAGCTCGTGCTAAGGTTTTTAAAAGTTATATCATATTCATTATAACGAAAAAAAATTATTATAACGAAAAAAATTGTGTAAGTAAAATTAATAAAATCAAGTATACATTAATAAAAGCTAGTATAAACGGTGTCAAACATTAAACTTCCCTCTAGTGTTATTTGGCACAAACATAACAAAGTTTAAAACTTCTATGAAACTTGGTAGTAAGCGCAGCCTGTGCAACTAAATAACTCATAACTTGCGGCGTGTCGCGTTGTGCAGCGTATGATAAAGCAGTAAATACATATATCCATCGTGGTTTTAAAACTGAAAAGATTCTGACTAAAATAATTGTAGTACTTGTCTTCAGTTATTTTTATTCGAAACCACGTCTAATAGAAAAAAAAATTGTTTATATTCAATGAAAATCCACCCAGCTGTTAAAAACTTACGAGCTCTTTTCTAAAGTGGTTGGAAAAGCTCAATCGCCTTACAATAACATGTCTTGACCTAATGTTGCCATAGAGAATAAATAGTCTACAGATTACACAAGTCTATTATTGAACAATTCCATTTATATCGAATGAAAGCTCATATTCAGGCCTTGATGTATTGAAATATGTCGTATTATATTAATATCATATTTAAAATTATGTTAAAATAAATTACAAAAGTTTGAGAATTTACAAATTAACATAAAATGTGTGAAAAAACATAAAAATTATAATAATTAAATAAAAATATAAAGGGGCAAAAATATTGAACGTCCTAAACTTTGATGTTCCTATAAGTTAGATGTATTATTTTCCCTAAACTTGGCCCTATTTGATATTCATATTGCGTAAGGAGCCAAATAGTTTCTGTGATAATAATATGAAGTTACAAAATGAAGCTTTACGCTTCCTTTACGTACAGTTTCACATTCAAATTATATCCGGCTTTATATTAGTATCACTAGTTATTTATATGAAACATTGAAAAAAAAAGTTATTTATGATTAAGCGTAGTAAATTTTGAATTAAATGTAAATTTTTCTGGTACAAAAAATAAATACATAAATTAAATAAATAACGTTTTGAAACCAATATTTTACATTAAAAAGAATTTCAAATAAACTTTACATTATATTTAAACTATTTTAAAAAAGGGGGGACTATAATCAAGACGTACATTTTCTTTTATAAACATACATACATATGTTCACTGATTACTCAGAGACGATTTGACCTGTCTGGCTAGTTTAAATTATAATTTGTTTAAATAAATATCGAGGAGGTGTCATAGAAGTTTCTATGAAAGAGAGCACACCACTTTAGATAAAGTTTAAAAAAAACATCAAATTAAAAGTATGAAAAATTTCTAAATGCATTTATTTCTAATAAGTGTATAATAATTTATTATCATCGAGCAATAAGTGGATAATAGAACTCTTCAATAAGTAAACCCCTTAGACTTTGAGTTTAAATTAGCTTTCTTTAGGGAATAAGTTCCACATTCTGACTTTTACGGATCACGGGTACACTATTTTTTCTTAATTGAATATGTTTATATACGTATATGTTTAAAAAGCAGTGGTAGCCCAGTGGTAACGCGCTCGCTTGGGAAACCGAGTGAAGCGGGTTCAAATCCCGGGTCTCGCACCTCTGATATTTTCATGTGCGAATCATTTCTAACATGATTACCACTTGCCTTACGGTGAAGGAAAACATCGTGAGGAAACCTGCATGTCTGAGATAACGTAGCAAGTCTTCGAAAGACATGTGAAGTCCGCCAACCCGCACTTGGCCAGCGTGGTGGACTATGGCCTGATCCCCCTCGTATTGAAGGGAGGCCCGTGCCCAGCAGTGGGACGACAAAAAGGGCTGAATATACGTAATATACATGTATTCAGCCCTTTTTAACGTAATATACATAATATATATAAAAATATACGTAATATTACCATAATTAGTTAAAGCTGTTTTTTCTGGTATAATTATAAAATCGTATGTTATTTTATTGAATCAATACTTTTTACACTATAAGAATAAGAATAAATTAAAAAAATTAAAAAACCCCCTACGCAAATTAATTGTCATTTAACGATTACACTGGCACGCGTGAAGCACTTAATCGAGTAATCATACGCCAAAATGCCTTACATCATTTTGGAAAAGAGCTGATCTCTTACACTGCTGGACCGATATTACCAAACATAGCTCAGAACAACCGTAAGGAAACTGGCTTTCAAATGAAAAAAACCGCATCAATATCGGTCCATCCGTTTGAGAGCTACGATGCCACAGACAGACACACACACACACAGATAGACATCGACATCAAACTTATAACACCCCTCTTTTTGCGTCGGGGGTTAAAAATAATAAATAATAATCACTATTCTGTCATATATTTTTTTGAGAATATTTTACAAATTGTTACATATGAGACTCATTTGCCTGTCAATTAGAAATATCAAATTTTGTATTATATAAATACCAGAATGTGACATCACAAGAACAGACCCACAAGACAACCCATAGTATCCAAAGGTAAATAGAATAATAACAACATCAAAATATTTGAATAAACATTTAAAAGTATTAAATATTAGTATTACTATAAAGACGTATTTTAGCGTGATGTGTATATATAAATATGTACATATATAACTTAATGCGAGAATTAGCTGTAAGTAAAAATTGAATGATGACGCTTAATAGAATACTATTTAGGTATTACATATAAAGGTACACACTTTTTTTTTTGTTGTTTTCGCTGGGGAAACCCATCATGGGGACCCTGCCGGCCGTCATAACGGGCAAGGTACTGTGAGACTCCTACTCACTAAAACCCACAGCGGAACCCGTCGCCGCAGTGCAATGGGGCGTTGCAGGATCGCTTGCGCACACACTACAACACCCCTGAATAAAGGTACACACTACAGTAATATAAGAACATATTCACAACTTAAGTTAACCGCTCTATTACGCGTCCCGTTTCCATTCTGAGTGACATACACTCTCTCGTGGCCCCCCGCTATAGTTGCATAGATTAAATTGTTATTTATCGATTCATAGCCGCCTACCAGTATTTAGTAAGTCGACCTACATCTATACTAATATTATAAACAGGTAAAGTTTGTGAGTTTGTGAGGTTGTAGGGTGTAATCTCTGGATCTACTAAACCAATTTAAATGAAAATTGATAAGAAGAACCCTGGGAAGGACATAGGACTTTTATCCCAAAAAATCATTTAAACTAAATACGACTCGACGGACGACTCGGCGGACGGCTCGACGGACAACTCGACGGAATACTTGACGGACGGCTCGACGCACGGCTCGAAAAGCGGCTCGACGGAATGCTCGACGGACGGCTGGACGAGCAGCTTCACGCACAGCTCAACGAGCAGCTCGACGAGCGCATAATATGTAAAAAGAAAGTTTTGTAATAACATATTCGACTAAGCAATTTAATTAAAAAAATAATTTATTGTTGATTTTTTTGGTTCTGGTCACGTTCTGGTATTCTTTATAATAAACAGCAAGTAAATAGTATTATTGAAAAAACTTAATCTTGTTAACATTACGTACCTACATTATATTGAATAAAACGAACTAATTCATTCAAAAACGAACTAATTTATCTAGTTCCATTTTCCACTGAAGGATACAAAAACCACTCAAAAAGAATTCCTTTATAAACTAACGTTTGCTCCAAAGAAGCTTGTACCGCTACGACTTGGACGCATCTTTGGTACATATTAGAAAGAGTAAAATAAATACATTCTTCCTAGTACTTAAACGATACAACATTTAGTAAGCTTGAGACAAATATAAAGGTACTAAACTTGTAAATTTATAATATTTTGTCTATATTTTATAGCGAGTATTATTAAGATAATACTTAATAGTTCAAAATAACTTTCCTTCTTATTGGTTGTTGTGTATCTGTATTTGGGATTTTTATGTAATATTCTCTTCATTTCCCCCAGACTTTTACTGCATATACAACTATATAATTCTGCGGCACACAAATTATGTCTATGAAATAATCTTTTACTCTGAAAAATAAGAAAAAATTAACACATTTCATACAAAATCTATACATATAATAAAATTGTAACAGTACATTAAATATTTTTTGGAAAATAAACATTATAATAAACATTATTATCGATACAGAGGCCGAATCTATAGTTTTTAGAATTTTTGTCTGTCTGTCTGTTACCGCATCACAAAAAAACCACTGGAGGGATTTTGATGAAATTTGGTATGGTGATAGCTGATTATCCGGGTCAACATATAGAATACTTTTTACTGCGGGAAAATTTCTCATTTCTAAGAAAAAATACAAAAACTGCATTGTAAGAGTATACTACGAGTAACATGTAAAACCTAAGAATTAGCTTTTTGATCATCTGAACGCGGGCGGAGCCGCGGGCAATGCTAGTATTATAATATGTATAATCCAATATTAAGAAAGCATGTTTGGTGTTAAGTTCACGTCATAATAGGTTGATAAATGATGCAAAATGCTTTTCAGTTAAAGCTATTATAGACAACACGTGACAGGGGTTCATCTTGAATAAAAGTCATGAACTTAACGATTTTTTATATATAAATATAAATAAATTGTATAGAAGTTTCAGGCAACGTTTGATCTCTTAGCTAGAATTCTACTCGAAATAATAGAATTTCGCTTCCATTCTAACATTCATCAACGTCAGCCGACTAAATAGATAAAATGATGTATGAAGTTAACGTACCACCTAAAACGAAACTGGACTTTAGCGAGAATTTAAAATTATGTATGAATACCAGGCAAATATTCTGCAAAAGTCACATTAGATTTAAGCTGGTGATGGTGGTGATGAAGTAATACTTTATATCAAAAAAGGACACGCTCTTCCTATAGACCTGGAAAACACAACTTTTAATTTCCGCTGGAAGAAACAGTGACTATTCCTCTTCGATCACTTAGGTCCAAGGTGGAATACCCTCCAATATAAGATATCAGGCGTGCCAACAGTTTAGATAATTTTGAGCTACTGTTAAAATCATATTACATATTTTTTATATATCTTTCTCATTTCTGAGAAAAAATACAAAAACTGCAATGTAAGACTATACTAATAGGTATGTAAAAGATAAGACAAATACTTTAACACTTTTTAGAGATTTTTTTTTAAATATACGTACAAGTAAATATATATTTAAATATATATATATATATATATATATATATATATATATATATATATATATTTATATGGGCAGATCCATTACTTTTCGACAAAAGTTTGCGCACGTGGATCACCGATTTGGATGCTATTTTTTTTTGAAAGTAGGTTAGAAAAGGAGGAAGTCTTGAAAATTTCAGCTCGATACGATTTAACCCAGCCGCTGGAGAATTTTTCAAAATTTGAAAAAGTTGACTTTTTAGTCATTTTCAAAAATTCATCCCTCGGCTCCTATAAAACCCAGAGATTCGATCAAGACAGATTTTTTCTCTCTCAATACTTTATTTTTTAGAAAAAAATGCTTAATTGATGTGAATTAAACCCGGCTTGGGTTTCGAAATTCTTAGTGAGCCACTGTTTGAGCAATTTTTTCCAATTTTCAAAGTGCTCTCAAATCTAGTAGTAGAATCAAGGACTCAATTTTTTTTATGAAGTATACTCTGTTGATTTCCATCCTAATTTTCTCCGATTGTCTTCGAAATATAGCCACGTATAGCCCAATCGATTTCTCAAATATCGCTGTTTTTAGATACCCACTTTTTTCTATCAACTTGAAATCTTTTCAAAATTTTGGGAATTACATTTCATTTTATTCTCAAACAGTCCTAAAAGTTTTGACCTGGTTACGGAGCTATGAATTTTTAATACTGTCAAATTTTCAACTTAATATTACCTTTTTCGGACTTTTATCATCCGTTTTATAATTTTACCTTATCAATTAATACTTATTGGAATTCTTATAGTAAAGGAGGAGACAATGGTTTTGTTATAAGTAAAATAAATAATCAAGATGTCTAAGTTTGTTTTATTTTGCGAGTTTTATTAATTGTATTTAATTTATTTGAATTGATATTTGCGTTCATCAAACGATGTAAAACCAAATGTATATATATCATTATAGAGACATACTTGTTATATTTTATTTTCAGCCAAAGTTAAGCTATTTCACGTTTCATCATAGGAGTAAATATTAATGCGGGAATAGAACTCCTGAACTTCACTGTACCTATTTTGAGAAAACAATGTATAGACGATAATTTATTTTTTTATAAATATTAGTATACTCAGTTATCGACTGCACAGTTATAAATTTTATATAAGTAGATATCAAAGAACCAGGTAATGCTAATCGTTGTTCACGATATGTGACAGGATTTAATTCAATGTCTTATTTATAATATGAGTTCAGTGAATTATAAAGTATAATTTAGAATTTTTAAAATTGAATTTTAAATGACTATTATTGTCTAAATTAACTTTTGATCAATTTTACAATCTATAGGTACATATAATAAAATTGTAACTAAGCCGTATCTGTACATTAAATATTTTTAGGAAAATCTGATTGAAATAGACATTATTATATATCGATACAGAGATCGAATCTATAGTTTTCAGATTTTTTGTCTGTCTGTCTGTTACCGCATCACGCAAAACCCACTGGAGGGATTTTGATGAAATTTGGTATGATGATAGGTAATTATCCGGGTGAACATACAAGATACTTTTTACTGCGGGAAAATATCTTATCTCTGAGAAGTCTGTACTAGACGTTAAAACGTACGGACGAACCCGAGTGGAGCGAGGGTGAGTCGCTAGTATTCCAATAATATCAAAAATTGTCTCTTGCTAATCAATTATTATTATAAAGCGATTAGTGTCATGCGTACAGTACGCAGTACAGTCCAAATGATAAATGCCTATTAATTACTACTGAAGTGAAGTTTAATTTAAACACTGTTTCTTTTATTAACTAAATAATATTATCATACAATTACAATTCGTAATACTATGATGAATATTTTTGTTAGTTTCATTCATTTATGAAGGTGTTAAATTAATACCACATTTTAAAACAATAGAGCCAAAGTATATTGTAATTAGAACTAGAAAGTAGGTACATATTATATAATACTAGCAGAAACCGCGGCTTCGCTCGCGCTAAAACTACGACAAAAACTCTAAAAATGTAGGTTTCATACAAACTTTCATGCTTTATTTTACCTCCTTATGGGATGAATTTCGAAAAATATTATAACACGTATTTAATTGTACTGAAGAGCATTAATACCAAGTTTCAAGTAATTCTGATCATAATTTTTTTAGTGTTGTATTATAACGTGCTTTCCCATGGGAATGAGATAATCTTCCGCGGTAAAAAGTTGCCTATGTCACTCCTCAGCCCTCCAACTATCTTGATCTCGTATCTCGTCTATATCGATATCTCGTCGATCCGTTTCCACGTGAAAGAAGAACAAACAAACAAAACACACTTTCACATTTATAATATTAGTAATTAGTATGGATGACTCAAGGTGTTATCTAGGTGGTGTCTATAATTAAGACGACGTAGTCATACATAATTTTGTGACTGTAATTAATATATCCCGATGTATCAATCACAATAAAAGCTTAGGAAACAATTTTTTTTAATTATGACCTTCAATTTTATTTTGTGTTCGTATGCCTTATATCATAGCCTCCGACCCTCCGTAGTAGTATAGGATATAGGAATTTAAAACTTAAGTCTTAGTTATAGGCTATATATTTGTACCGTTTGACGTGGAAACTTTGTAACCGTGGGGACCAACGACACATCTTTTCAGTAAAGAATTGAAGATGCATCTTATAGAGGTAAACCAAAACCAAAAGACTTTGGTCAAAAAGAAGTTAGTAACGTTGTCAGCTGTTTGGGTACTTTCCCTTTTTTGTTATGAATGATGATGATGTTCTCCTAGCCGATTCCGGCCACGGCGGCCAATCTCATTGAGACTAGCCAACTGCGCAGGAGATATTATAGTGCACAAGTGTACGCGCAGACACAACGTGCACTCTCTATTCCTGACACTCTCATACTCCGGTGGGACGACGCGAGACACGACCGGTGAGAGTTAAGCTTTTCGTGCTCTCCGAGGCACGGGGGTAAAACACTACCAACATACGAAATATGAATACATTTATATAAAAAAATAAAAATCTTAAGCTAAAGCGGTCAAAGGCTTTTGTATGGTGGAATTTATGAATGTTTTATTATTTTATTATGTTTGCCATAAAAATATGGCACACATATTACACTCATGTTTTGGTTTTCGTACACATCTGTAATTTTTATTTACGTCCTTTTTTAAATAAGTAAATACTAAAAAGTAAGGAGGTGGCATAGTTTAATAGATAATGTATCAACATTAAAAAACGTTATGCCATATAGATGCCATAGGGGTATCAAAAAATGTGTACCTACCCATAATAAAGTAAATAGATTATGCATTACTAAAAATTAAAAAGCATATTAATCGATTAAATTAAAATATACAAAATAATCGAAATTGTATTATAATGTACTCGTAGATTGTCAATATTTTATTCTCATCATTTAAACCGAGTTAAATATTTACTTTATCTAGAAAGCTTACACACAGGGACCTCGCGGTATTTCCCCAGAGCTAGAAAGCAAAAAGTATTTGCACTAGTAAAAAGTTACACTTATATCTTTATATATATAATTCTTCTGTGAGTGTGTATGTCACTGAACTTCTCTCAAACGACTGGACCGATTTTGATTAATTTTTTTGTGTGTGTTCAAGGGGATCTGGGAATGGTTTAGATTCACAATTTGAATAATAATTTTCATCAAAATGGTCCAGAATGTTTTAGCTTATTAAAAAAAGTTTGAAATTTTCAAATTAAAGACGTGTAGACAGGACAACGTCTGTCGGGTCCGCTAGTAGATAAATATAACTGAACGCCAGAACAATAGATAAGGTTTTATTTCTACTGTACATTAATAAAGCTTAATAGTGGAAGGTTTTTTTTTTAATGTTAGAGTATAAAATATGCTTTAAATTATTTTACTTAATATTTCTCAAAAATTTTATAGTAACACTAATTTAACTATAAGAAATTATAGTTAATATTCTCACTATGTCATTTCAAACCTACAAAATTGAGAAACAGATTGTGTTGTACTGACAGGGAATTCTAATATCTTCAGTTATAAATGCAAGAAATATTTTTATTACACTTCTTCCTTCTCGGTGTATGTTTTTCTTGTGTGTATGTTACATGACATCTTTTGCCAATTTCCCCAAACTAAAAAGATTTCTCCAAAAGGCTATAAAAGGAACTCATTTAATTTTATCATGTCCGTTGTCCGTATGTCACAGCCATGCTACTCGGAGAATATTTGATACTATAAAGCTGAAATTTGGAGGGTTATGAGAGAATGTCTTATATGAAGCGGTAGACTATTCATTGTCAAATAACAGAAAATAAACAATAGAGATGGCAACCATTTCAAGAAAATATTCTACCTTTAAAGCTGGAATAACTACATTTAAAATTATTTTAGTCTCTATAAGGTATACCACCTTTATAAAAAAAAATATTCTCTTTCTCATTTTATATGCGGCGGTTATATAAACCGAATTTTCTGAAGATAAACATCAAGTATAGATAACACCGATCTATCCGTCAATGAAAGCTTACTTCAATTTAAAGCTGGCTCCGATAATAATCAGTTTTATTTAGCGATAGAACAAAGCGTTACATTACAGTATAATCAGCGAATAGTGTTGCCAAATATTCGACTTTGGACAGGCCGTCCTGGTTTTTGACTCCCACAGGACACGACCGTCTAAAGTCTGACTTTTTAATATATTTAATGCCATTATATAGCAACCTATTTTTGTAAATAATAACATAAAAAGGTATTTTTGTTAAATATATAATTTAATTACGTATTTGGTATGGATATTTTTTATATATTTTTCTACATAAGTTATTATATTATATATGAAAAAAAAACGATTAAATATAATAATATTCCAATATTTAATATACAATATTCCAAGATATCAGTTAATAAAACAAATCAAAAGTAGTTTTATATGTTCTCCTCCGTCATAACTATGAATTATGATAGTATATATATATATATATATATATATATATATATATATATATATATATATATATATATATATATATATATATATATATATATCTTCTTCTCCCTGCCCATTTTCCAAATCACTTGGGATCGGCGCAGTACATCTTCAGTGTACTGCTGATAGGATTTGGCAAAAGTTTTACGACCGGCCGCCTGCCTGACGTCAACCCTCCTTATATATATATAAAATAACCAACAAGCGTGCCATGGTTTAAACATTAATATACTTATAGTATTTAAGCTCATAACAATAACGTGGAAGTCATTATTATTTAAGCTTTAAGCATCTTTTAGATAGCGCTAAATTTACGCCTCATATCACGCGGTTACAATCCGTTAGTCGAGATTCGCAGTTTCATTTTCTCCCAATTTCATGGGCTATAAACAGAAAATTTCGCTGCCAAGATATGTATGTAATTATGTTTTACGAACGACAAATACATTGTAGCAGTTATCACATAAGTATATGTTATAAGGAATTATGAACTACATACAATATTTTTAACCGACTTCTAAAAAGGACGAGGGGTGATTTTACTACCTTAAATGGTATTCTATTAAACCAGCTACCGAGGTGGTCACATAATATTTTCTCTGTCATGTATAACAGTATCAGTATAGTACAGTGTGTCATGTATATCAGTATATGGTTTTCCATAAAATCAGCAAAATGCATGTAATTTGGCGTACGTTAACAAATCTAATTCTTCAGCCTTTTTTACCTATCTGTCTGTCTATCTGTTTGTCGGCTAATCTTCGAAACGGCTAGGCCGATTTTGACGGGACTTTCACTAGCAGATAGCTGATGTTATAAAGAGTAACTTAGGCTACTTTTATTATAGAGAAAGAATCATTGATCCGCGCAAAAAAATTAAAACCCAATATATGCGTACTCAGGGATGCGCCCGAGCGAAGCAAGTCGCTAGTAGGTCCTATACTTTGATACTTCTAAATTCTCAGACATAACAAAGTATAGTTTTCTAATTATTTCCATTATATATATATATATATATATATATATATACATATATATATATATATAACTTTACATATATTTGTTTACATTATTTCAAATTTTTCACGGAAAAAAATCGAATAACCTTATTTAATTAACGGGAATGTTGCTGCTGGGAGAGACGACAATTTAATTTTGCTTAATTAATATGAATGATTAATCTTTTAAGTAAACTAAGTGCTAAGTTTATTTAGTGAGTAAGAAATTGTAGCTTACTAAGTTCCAAACGAAGTAACTTTAACCAATGTCCGAGAGCAATTTATTGGTGAACTTTATTCCTGTAACCATTTTACCTAATTCTACGAATAAATTGCTATAACTGAACTTTCATTTAAACTCATTTTTATTTTTAACATGCCCCTATAAATTAGTAATTACCATAAAATATATATCCTATATTGTATTTTTGTAGGTCGGATTCAATATAATGATCAAAAAGTAAAATGAAAATCTGCACTTTATAATAATCTTTTATTAATCAACTTTGGTTTTACAGACTTTAGTTACGATTGGCTAATTAGAATTTTAGTAAATAAATTTATAAAAAAAATAAGTAAATGGCTATCTTATCCGACCTATCCATCTCAGATGGCCATAGCAAGAGGTAGAAGATGGCTATATTCGTGTTTCCTTCTTTTACCTCTGTCGTTCCTCTCATATCACATTCACAGTCTTCTCCAGCTGAAACCTCATCCAAATGTATTACATCTTCTTCTACAGAACTCGATTCTAATTTTTTGGTTTTTTCTCTATTTTTTTCTTTGAAAGTCATTACTTCTGCTATTTGTTTTGCACGTTTTCTTGTAGAGTTGTCAATTTCTGGGACTGGATGTAAAAAAAATATTAATTAGCAAATCAAAATAGTATGCCCATATAAACCTAAAAAAACATAGCTTTATCAACCAGACTTTAGGACAACAAACTTTAGACAACAAACACATTGACACAGTAAAATAATTTTCACTATTTTGAGGTTATAATATCAACAAAACATCAAGCCACAAGATAAATGTAAAATTAACATACAAGCGATTATGAAATTACATTAACAACGTAAACAATATCGGGCATCGAAATTTTTTGAGGTAGTTATAAACATTAAGCTTAAAAAATACTTACCTTTCAATTATTTTTTCTGCACAACAAACTGCACTACCTCACCCACGAAGGTCAACAGCGTGCTGTCGAATTGCTGATAAATATCACCAAATACAAACCAAAACCATCGATGGACTTTTTTCGACTGGCCTCCTTACACGACTGGCCATATCACCCTGAATACCCAATATATAAAAATCAATTACCACATGTATGACTATGATTTCTTTTGCGATGTGTTTGTAATTATCGAAACAAGGTTTTTATGAAAGATTGGAAAGTCGAAAATTCAGATGGTATTTTTTTTACAAAAATCTCGATATTATAGAATGTGACGTTCAGATTGGTAATTCTGCTGCCATAATATATTGTCATAACAACAAAAAACATTAAATACAAATTAAATGTACTGATATGATTTTTAAAGTAAAAATTTTGAATGTAGTATTATATCCATACCTCACATGGAACAATGAACTACTCCTTCATCCCATGGAGTTGTTACCCATCACTTAACATATTTTATCTGTTTATTCTACTTTTCTATGGGTCAGGTGTTCTTTTTTTACTGTGGTATTGTGAGAAATTGTCGTGATTCCTTGAGGTAGGATGAGTGCAAACATTTTTAGATAATTTTGTACTTATATAGAAACTACTTTTATTTTTACATAAATTGCAATGAGACTTACTTAGTTAATACTTTCTTAGATTTACGCCAATATTTGACATTTTCAAATGAAACTATTTTTACTGCAAACGGCGTAAGTATATATGTATATATTTAGCATTTGAAATGTCGGGAATAAAAAATTAATATAACTCCGAGAAAAATCTCAAAAAAATGTTTATATAATTATTTATTATTTTATTACAAAATAGTTTTCACCTTTAGAGTTAAGGTAAATATTTAGAAGCATCTTTTTTAATTAATCCATTGCATCAAATCTCCTTCCTCCATCTTTTTAAAAATGAATAAGGTAAATCCGAAAAAAATGAGGCACTAGAGCTTAGCAAAATATACGTAATATGTAGTTTTTAGATATGGGATTACTTTTATTTTACATATTAATATCTTTAAGACGCACGAACTTATTTTTACAATAAATAAAGTGTGTATTGAGAAAACGTAAATATTTTATTTTATTGCATAAATACGAGTATGTTATTAAAAACAACACAATATTCGGCGGTGCGGAACGCTCGATAAGAAATGCGAGGTTAGACCAAAAATTTATATACATTTTCATTTTGGAACAGTCATCAAATTATAAATAAAAGAGTTTGTTTATTTTTATTTTTTTGTAGCTTGTAACACGGACGAAGTCGCAGATAATGCTAGTTTCTAATAAATATTTTATTCAAAACTAATATTTCTTTACTATGACATAGTATTTACTTTTATTTATTTTTAAAGCTATCACAAAGTTTACGATAAATTTAATTTTACTTAGACAACTTGAATTGTTTAAAACAAAAGCGCTTTGAAAGCTATTCATTTCCACTTTATTTAGCTGAAAACATTCATTGCTAACTAAAATGCACTCACATACACAGGGTTCTCGGCGCCGCAGGCACTAACCGCAGCTTTTAATTTCGTCTCTTGTGAAACTCATTTACCATTGTACAGCGCGCTGTAAAGAACTTTACCATTCTTAAAAGTTAAAGATAATACTTATGCCAATTACTGATACTGATACATATTTCTTTATTTACATCATTTCATCAGACTTTCTGTATTTATTTATACGAGTTATACTTATTTAAAAAAATATTTTACCTATATAACTTTAACTACGTCTCTTGTTAAACTAATTCTATATATTACGTATATAAAACTATAGTTACTAATGATTTTTTAAATGGAATTTTATAAAAAAAGTCTACAATAATATTTTGTCCTCGATATAACTGTTCACAATTCCATTTACCGTCTTAGATATTTCCGCACATGCGAAACATTTTTTATTATCTACATCACATATATTTCAAATTTTCTACCAACCTTTATGACAAAGGAAGGAAATGGGCCATCCCTGACGTGAGTAAAATATCTCATCACATGAATGTTTTATAAATATTTCAAGGCTATAATCGTTTCTTTGATTCTAATAAAATATTTATTGTTTGTATCGCAAATACTAAATAAAATACAATATTTTGTTTTTTTTTTTACTTTCCTTAAGGGATGATTTCCAAAATAAATTCCTATGTCCTTCTCAAGGTCTCAAACTACCTCCATACCAAATATCATCTAAATCGGTTCAGCGGATTAAGCGTGAAATGGTAATAGACAGACAGACAAACAGAGTTACATTTATAATATTAGTATAGGTTAGAAACTTAGCTTCGCTTCGCTCGTGGCGTCCCTTGGATGCCTAACAGCCTATATGTTACTCCAGGTCACACTCTATTTGTGTTTAAATTTCATCCAAATCCGTCCAGCCCCTTCACCGTAACGGAAAAACCAACATACACACACAATATATACACATTTTAGCATTTAGAACAGTAATACGATTTGCATGTATTCTATACCGATTATAAACATTTTTATAATATGAGTTCATAAATATAATTGTGCAAGCTGAAACAGCGCTACAAACGTAACCCTGCGGCCAAGAACCCAACCAGCCAGCACTTCGTATTTTATTTCGTTTTGTTTTGCTTATAATAATTACAATTTTGATCCCTGGAGTGCAGTAAATTTTCTTCCAATTTGACGTAACAATACTTGTAGGACCTTTCTATCTATAAACGTTTAAACATTTTCATTCATTCTTTAAAAAATAATTTAATTATGCAAAATACGTTTTTGTAAGCTACAAAGCTACAAATAATTTAAAATATGTATTTGAATTCTACAATTATTTATTTTTACGCTTTTTCTTCTAGGATGTTTACTAAAAAAACCATAAAAAGCTAACACAATGAAGTTTTACCTGTTATATTTTCTCGTTAGACGAGTTAATAAAGTAACGAGTTAATTAGTAGGTATATACGTTCGTTAAGTACAAAAGTTTAATATTAAAAGTTAAATTAGTATATGTCTTTATACAAGTTTTAATTAGTTGTAGCTGATTTAAGAATCTTTTAGTTTTTATCCGACTGCGGTGAAATCCAAAGGAGGGTTATGTGTTTGATTAATTTTATACTTAACCTTTGGCATATTACTAGAAGATTTATTTATTTCTTCTATGTAGAAAAATGACATTCAAAGTTTATTAGCCGTGGTTTTCAACATTTTAAAGTTACTAAACTAAACAACTGGTCCATAGTAGGTTAGAAAATTGGTACAGCACAAATTTTTCAAAAGTCAACTTACTTTTAAGTAACAATTATTTTTTTATTAGATCAACTATTTACGTAAATGAGTCCTGACTCCTGAAACATTTTATAAAGGGAAAAATAAATTTAAAAACATACTCCTTTAATCCCATACAATTTTATTTCGTTATTTTATGACCGGGTCAAATTTGGCTGAACAACGTGAGTGACAAAATTTTTCGGATGTCCATTATCCGGATTAACTCGGGCAAAACAAACGCTCTTTATGGTTTTCCGTTGGCTGCTGATTCAAAACAATTATTTTAGGTTGAATGGTGAATGGGTTTAAGTCAAAATAAAATGATATACAATACAGAATATAAACATTTAAACATAATTATATATTATAGTTTGAGGGAGATTGCCTTTTATTGCTTAAAAAATAATATCTTTTAAAAAAGTACCATATGGTGAATATTTTTTTTTGCCTATTCCTTTTTAATTTTTAGAGTTCTATATCACATTTTGTCACTTTGTCGATAGATTTAGGTAGCCCACTTGCGTATAGCTTAGATAAGTATTGATGAATTCTGATTTTTAACAAATAAAGAGGGTTTTTTTTAATTGTCAAATGCATCATAGCCGGTTGTCTTGAACAATATCCATTTTCCCCAGCATGGATATAGCAGATCCATCATCACAAGACAAGTAAATATCAAAATGTCCATGAGATAAATCTTGCATTGATCTAAAGTCTGAACTGTAGTTTTTTACGGGGTTCCCTTCTGTATCAAATTTTTCATATAACTCTCCATTGTGACAGACTTCTAAATTGCTGGAAATAAACTGCTGGTGATAACGACATTTAAAAAGTAGTACAATGTAAAGGCAAAACAAGATTTAGAACATCAAAAAAGAAACATAAAGATTCACAATGTTACATCTTACAAATAAAGTAAGTTTATAAAAATAACAACGGCTAAATATATTATTAACAGGTTATGAAAGATCTAAATGAAATAGATATAGACATACATGTATAAAATACTGACATATCAACGAAGTTTTTTTTTTATATATATAATATGCGAACGATAAAAACAGTTAAGAAGTTAAGTTAAAATTGCTTGTTTGATATTTGATAACTCAACGATGATACAATTTTTAACCGACTTAAAAAAAGAAGGAGGTTCTCAATTCGTCGGAATCTTTTTTTTATGTATGTTCACCAATTACTAGAAGTTCCGTTTAGTTATTTTTTACATTTTAGTACCTGGAAGTCGTTTTTTTTTTTGTTTTTATTTGTATCGTATAAAAGCTTTTCTAATAACTATTTATACTAAATAAAATAAAATAAAAATAGCCTTTATTTCCTCTGACCTTTCTATATACATACAAATTTAAAGATATTTAAACTACATTTTTTAACTAATTTGTTTTTAATATATGTATCTTATATATATATTTAACTAAGATTTATATTTATCAGCTACCGGGTCAGGCTGCCTTGCGAAATAGGCCTCCTCAAATTCCTTCCACATTTGCCTATCCAGCGCTGTCCTTCTCCAGCCCTTAGGAAGAACGTCCTCCCATCTTTTAACCTGTCTCCCTCTACGTCTTTTTCCATTCCTTGGGTACCATTCTGTTACTTTTTTGGTCCACTTTCCCGTTTGTGTTCTCATCATATGACCTGTCCACTTCCATTTTAATGTTCGAGTTCTTACTCTCACGTCTGTTATTTTAGTGATGTTCCTGATTTTTGTATTTTTCCATTTATCTTCCAACCTCAGGCCCAACATACTCCTTTCCATTCCCCTTTGGCATACACCTAGCTTGTGTTCTATTTTCTGTGTTAGTGGCCAGGTCTGACAGGCGTAGGTAAGACATGGAAGGATACAGGTGTTATAAACCTTCCTTTTTTCTGAAATGGAAACAGATTTATTTTTCATAATTTCCCTTATGGACCAGTACCTTTTCCAGGTGTTGTTTACTCGCCTATCAACTTCCTTATTCGACAGATCCTTTGCAGATATTACTTGGCCAAGGTATATATATTCGTTTACGTATTCGATCTCTTTTTCAGCCACCTGTACTGCAACTTTGTTCTTGTTTGTCAACAATTTGGTTTTACTAGTATTCATTGTTAATCCTGCCTTTTTACTTTCCGTTGCTAGTTGTTGTAACATTATTTGTAGAGTTACAGGATCTTCTGCGAACGAGATGAGATTGTCTGCGAACCTTAGGTGGTGTAATTTTTCTCCGTTTATATTAATGCCGAAGTTATCCCAGTTGAGTTGCCTAAATATATTTTCCAAGACCGCGTTGAATATTTTTGGTGACAATGGATCTCCTTGTCTAACGCCTTTCTGAATTTTAAATTGATCACCTATACTTTCAAGTTGTACCTTTGCTGTGCTATTCTCATAAATTTGATTTTCTATAGTTTCTAATAGCTTTTGAGATTTCTTTACTAATGATTGCTATTTGTGTACGATTTTCTTTTCTGTTTTTTATCATTTCTTTCCTTTCATTGATTTTCAATCTGGCTTCATCGCCGAGCTTGTCATTTGTATCTTTTCTTGTACATTTGCTTATTTTAACTAGCGTTTCTTCTAACATGTTATATTTATCTTGTACGCTGTTCTGTTTTTTAACCATGTCTAATGATTGTTTTAATTCGTTTAAGATTTGTTCTGGTATATATAATGGGGTCCTGTTTGTTTCCTTGATTTTCCTTCTCTGTATTTTTATTTCTTTGCATGCTATAGTTCCTCTGATAAGTCTATGATCTGAATTAAAATTTAAATTTGTGACCACACCGACATTTTTGAAAATCCTGGGCATATTGGTAGTTATAAAGTCTATCTCATTTCTATCTTTGCCATTAGGAGACATCCATGTCCATTTTCTGCCATTTTTCTTGAGAAAGAAGGTGTTCATTACTCTTAAGTTGTGTTCAAAGCAAAAATTTATCAATCGTTGGCCATTATCATTCCTCTTTCCCTGTCCATATTTGCCTACGATGTACTCTCTTATATTAGGTTTGTTTCCTATTTGACCATTGAAGTCTCCCATTACTATCGTGTTTCTATTTACCTTTTGCATTGCTTTTGTAAGACTATTATAGAATATATCTTTTTCTTTCTCAGTTGCTTGATCAGTTGGGGCATAAATTTGAAGGATTGAAAATGGATTTTTTAGGCCGGGTAATTTTATATTTAAGATTCCAATTCTATCCGATACTCCGATAAATTCATCTATATATTTTTTTAATCCTTTTTTGATAAGAAATCCTATACCGTTTTTTCCCTGAATTTCTCCTTTGTAGTAAAATATAAAATCTTTAAAT